TCACCAGGGGTCGTAGTACTTTTTAAAATATTATTTCCCAGCATATCATTATTTCTTGACATTTCCATAAGATTTAGTCATTGTGGTGTTAATTTTACTGGACTGCTAGCAAATATTTTCCTGTGCTTTTGAAGCAGTTCTGATCTTTCCAACATAATGGCGCTAAAACAATGATCCAGTTTATCCTGGTTTAAGAGTAGCATCACGATGCAAAAGAAAAGTCACGAACTGGATTTCAAGAAGCAAATCAAAAACAGATCAAATCTCCTGGCTGGAAATAATTTATTCATGTTAAATCTGGTAACACATAAGCCTTCACAGGTGCATAAAGGAAATCATAGTTACAAGTTGCTGAAATGTTTGTGAAAAGTTGGTGTAATATAATAAGATTTATGTTTTGCTGATTCTTCCTTTCAGATAGTGATGGACAACAAGGCTCACAGTGGAAAAGTGAAGATCTGGTTGGAAAACAAGGCGATGATGAGGGAATGTAAAGACCCAAGTGTCTCTGGCCATGGTAAGTCACCAAGCCTCTCATTTCTGACCATTTCATATGTGCTGTTGCTTCTTTGAAAGAGAATATTTACTGATTTCAGCTAGAAATAAACAACATTTTTGGCCGATTTTTGATTTTGTAAAGCTTTGACCTGCATACTTCAGTTTTGGCAGATTTCTCTTTAAGAACTTAAGACTATGAAAGAAAAGCATTCAAAATATTAATGTCCATGTTTTCTTTTGTGAGGAATCATTTCAAATTAGACACTGTGTAAGAGAACAGTCAATGTAAAACTGAGTTTTACTATTTCTTCAAAACATACAAAATAATTCTAGTGTTTGGATTTTAAACTTTGTCTTTTCAGTCTGTGTTAGCAATAAGTGCAGTTAGCATGGTTAGCATTACTAAAGCAGGAGTCTTCCTGCAACCATTATAATCCAAAGAGACATTTCTATCCAACTAAATCAACTTGTTTAGAGCCAAATGTGACATAATAAAAAAAAAAGACAACTTATGATTTCTGATGTAGGAAATTTGTTGTCATTTTGAAAAACTAAAATTAGACTTCAGTTTTTAGGTTTCAAATAGAAAAAAACAAAAGTTTTTAATGAGACCTTACATTTTCCACTATGGGATAATGTTATTTGTGGAAAATGGTATAAATATAAAGCAAATACTTTCTGACCTGATGAAAAGGAAAATGGATCAAAAATATATTATTGCTTTTGTAATACCATTCTGTTGTGGAAATTCAACAAAAATGATTCAATAAAAATCAGCTAAAAACTGAATTTGTAATTATATTTAAAATCATTAGTTGGCAAAAAGCCATTTGCTGCTTTGAATCCTCTGGTTGTAGAACAAGCATCTTCACATTTTGGGTTTCTATAAGTTTGACACTTACAAATCCACAAAAGACAAAAAACAGCAACTTTTCTGCCTTTTCAGCCTTCCTGTTATCTATTGACGGGTCATACAGGCAGATATGCTTTCATGCTTTCTCACAGGCTGAATGAACAACAGATAAATTTACAGATTTCTCTTGTAACAAATTTCAAGAGCCATATGTTCTAATCCATGGAGTAATGTAATTAGTGCAACATTAAACATGTTTAATTGTTCATGCAGTGTGAATCCCTTTGCAGGGCTTTGCAAATGCAGTCCATTTATAAATGTTCAAAACCAAAACGATGTAAAAATTTTTCTTTCCTTTTAAACACAGCTGAGAGTTTCACGCGTGTGACGTTCGACGTGATCGTTTGTCTGATGTGCCTGCTGTCTCTGCTCCTATGTGGACGCTCCCTGCTGCGAGGCATCATCCTGCAGCAGGTAGGAGGAGAGTTTCTTTGTAACCAAAACAAAAACAGCAAGAGAACCTCATGAGAACTGCTTCATGAATGTCACATAAAACGAAAAGCACAAACAGAAAACCTGAATGGTGGTGTGTATGTGTGTGCTTGCATAAACGTAAAAGAGTCTGACGGGTTTTAATGTTTGACTTTCTCCACAGGAGTTTGTTAAGTACTTCAAGGATACTCTGGATCGTAAAGTGTGCTGGGCGGATCGGCTTGAGTTTATCAACGGCTGGTATATTCTTCTCATCATCAGCGACATCTTCACCATCACAGGCAGCATCATCAAAATCTGCATCGAATCAAAGGTCCTACAGCTTTACACTCTTATAGATTATTATTTTTATAAACTGTGGAGGACTTATTGCTTTAGACCAACGTTTAAAACAGAAAACTGCTTAGTTCATTACTTTTAATGAAAGTGGAGCACTATTTACATTAGGTCAAGATTTAGCTACTTTTATAAACTGTGGAATATTATTTTATTACCTGGCTTAGACTAACATTTTCATACTTTTAATATTGGAGCAAGACCTAGGAGGAGAAACGCCTCTTAGTTTACAAATTTAGAACAAACTTAGAAAATACCGTCTACTTAACAACCCAGAACAAGAACCAAACCTGGAAAACCAACATTTAGTTTTATCAGAACAAGAATCCAAAGAAACTTCTACTGGTTTATAAATTATGGACTATTATTCTGATCAAACAAGGGGAACATTATGTAGTTTTTGGTTTTGTTTGCATTTCCTCCTAATTCATGCAAAGCACTTCGGACTGCCTTGTTGCTGAAAATGTGCTGTATAAATAAAATTACCTGGTCTTACATCAGCGTTATTTTTATTGTGTTGCTCTAGGATTACGTGAGGTGTTAGTTTTCTTCAACACAGCATTTTGATCTATAAGTTCAGGCGCTTCTTATGTTAAAAATGTGTCGTCCATCTTGCTTTTTTTTTCCCCTGACAGACTACGTCGTCCTATGACATCTGTGCCATCCTGCTGGGGACCTCCACCCTTTTGGTGTGGGTGGGAGTCATTCGCTACCTCACGTTTTTCCAAAAGTACAACGTAAGTCACGGATCCTCTGGCTGTTCTGTAGGCGAGCGTTCCTTTAAGCTTTTAGTTTGCCTGATCTTTGCTCTCTTTTCTCAGATCCTCATCATCACACTTCGAGTTGCGTTCCCCAATGTGATTCGCTTCTGCTGCTGCGTAGCCGTCATCTATCTGGGTTACTGCTTCTGTGGCTGGATCGTGCTCGGACCGTACCACGTCAAGGTGAATAAAACAAACATTTTGACTTGATTGTGTTAACTATAAACATTATGATTTAAAAAAAATACTTATTACACCTTTTTTAGGTAGCTGTACGGCTGTAATTTCGTTTTCATCTGAGCTTAGCACATTGTTCGACTTTTAATTTCCCCCCTCGACTCAGCTTTCATCAAACTACGTTCATGTAAACAATCTTCATCTCTGTTTTTCACCCCCCCACAGTTTCGCTCTCTGTCGATGGTGTCGGAGTGCCTGTTCTCCCTCATTAATGGGGACGACATGTTTGTGACGTTCTCGGAGATGCAGGAGAGCAGCACTCTGGTTTGGGCGTTCAGCCAGATCTACCTCTACACCTTCATCTCCCTGTTCATCTACATGGTCCTGTCTCTGTTCATCGCTCTCATCACTGGAGCCTACGAGACCATTAAGGTGAGACACTTATCCAATCAGAACAAGAAGGGAAACCAAAATCAGTGTACTGATAATGTAAGAAATTACTCTTTCTGAAAACTGTAGCAGACGCAGTGAATTTCTGCATAATGTTAATCTGGTTAGAAATGAAACCAGAATTTTACTGCACTGAATAAAAAAAAACACATAAACCTTTTTTTCCTCATTGTTTGAGGTTAAATCAGACCAAACGTCTCTTGTTTTAGGTCCATTAGGATTACCAAAATTATTTCTATTTGCTAAATAGAAATAATTTTGGCACAATAATGAAAGATGTCTTGTGTATTTAATGTATTAAACCCTCAAATTAATTTAAATGTGTCAGTTAAGTTTCCAAAGAAAGACATCATCATCTGAGCTTGGTTAGCTGCTCAACCTCAGCTAAACAAGATTGGTGGGATCAACAAACTAACTTAATCTTTGGTTACCTAGCAACTCACTCACTCTTTGGTTACCTAGCAACAACCTGTTGATTAAATGGCAGTTTCTGGTTTCTTCACTGTGCCTCATAGCTGTTTAAACATAAAAAAAAAACAACGGTAATGAGATAATCTGTAGGTAGATGTATGATCTTGAAGACATTACTGTGTAAATCTCTGACATATTTCTACTCATTATTGTGGCATTTAGCAAATACAAATAATTTAAGTAATTTTTATAATAAAACGAGGAAAAAAGGTGTTGGTTTTTCTTTATTTGGTGTACATAAACTTCTGGTCTCAACTGTACGTCTGATTTATCTCTCAGAGATAAATGTAGCACATCAGTAGTACACAGCAGAGTACGGAGCGACTGGGAAGAGTGAAATCTATACATAACAGAAGCGTGTTGTCATTGATTTCCCCAGCACCAAACCCAGGAACCGATCCACATCACAGACCTGCACGCCTTCATAGCCGAGTGTACAGATGCACCAACGTCTGGCAAGTTCAGGGGAGTGGAGACGTCTCCCTGCTCCTTCTTCTGCTGCTGTGACAGGTGAGCGCATCACTCATACACCCCATTAAATACTAAAATAAGAAGCGTATTTTAAGATGCACCTAACAAAATCATGCATGTGGAGTTTACGTACATGAATCGGGATTAAAATAACTTTCTGAGTCTTAAATAACATTTTGTTGTTTAATTTAAGGTCTGAAACCTCTTTTATGCTTTGACTCCTCAGAACAACAACATATGAAGACGTCCTGCTGGTGAACTGAGGATGAACTTATTAAGCTGAGTGCTCACCAGCCCCCCCTGCTGTCCAGCCGTGTGTATTGCACACATGTGGGCCAAACAGTCGGTACTGAAGGAGGAGTCTGGATCTACTGAAGGATCTACTCTCTTCCTGCTGGCACTTTGTGTTTGTTGAGAACTGAAGGACTGAACCTTTCTAAATGAGCATTACAGTGTAGCATCGCTGACGACTACTGCACAAACATTTCTGTTAGTTTTTATTGTTTTTAGAACAAAAGTCAGTATTTTTTTCTCTGTGATTCTGCATTGCTGATACAGAAGCAGCACAAACTGCTGGTGCAGAAATGTTACGGAAACTGTTTTTTTATGTTCCTTTACTTGATTTTTTTAAATATATATATTTTAGAAAATGTCAGATTGAAGACAATAACAGGTCCAGTTTTATTTTGTAAAATTCATGAGATGTATAACTAAAATGAAGACAACAAAGCTTCTGTGTAGAAGCTTTATTTCTTATGAATTATGATCAGAATGATGCAGATTCAGTATAATTTTTCTACAGCATTTCCTGTTGCAGGACAGTGTGTGTACCATGTGTTGCAGACACACTCACTCCACAGTCAGACTGTGTTGCAGTTGGTTTGTCCTCCAAAGCACTCCAAAGTGTGCACTTTTCTTTTAAATGATGCCAAAACACTATGGAGACTGTGATACTCCATTATATGTAAGTTAAAATGTTTGCAAATCCCCTCCACCCTCATCGCTGTAGAGAGAGAGACAACACTGATGGCCATTAAGAAATCGGATCTGACTTGAGTAGCCGGACTCTGGTTAGGAAACAATGATGAAAAACGATGGCTAATAATGGCTTCTCATTGTGACTCAGTTCTTTCCCGTTAACATAAAGCTGTCTTGTCTAAAACAGTTGCTCTGTTGGAGTCCTGAACTAACAAGATTTCTTTTTTTCTTGTACGCACAAAAGTTTGAAGAGTCTCAGGATGAAGACTCCTGGTCCAAAAAAAGGACTGAAGTGTTTCCTCTCGTGTTCAACATATCAGCTGAATCATTTTTTAAGTTAATTGTGCTGTACTATAATAGATTTTAAAAGTGCCTGTTTTATCAGTGACTTTAAATTAAGGCTCCATTACTGTCTTATTGCTAAGAAGTGTTTCTGCTTGACTTCAGTGTTTTATGTTGAGTTTTGGTGTTGATGTGCCTGTACTGTACCTCAGATAAACACTGTGTGAATTGATGTTCAGTCATCTGCTTTGTGTCATTTACAGTATCTATTGATCACCGTTCAGTTCCTCAATTATGAATTAAACTTTCTGGGTCACCTGTGATTTCTGCTGTTTTCTTTTGTCGTCTGAATGTTGCTGTAGTTCTCCTGTGTTGCCACTAGGGGGAGCCAGAAGTTCATGCAACGCTGTTCTGGGATCAGATTTCTGCTTGCATAAATTAGTGTTTAGTTTTGTTTGTATTTTTTAGTATTTTATGCAAAAACTATTCACATTTTATTGACTTTTTCAAATAAAAGTTGCATAGCTGCAGGATAAAAATTGACATACTTTTCAGAAGGCTTACATTTTCTGATACTTTTGTTTTTGTGTAATATTCTAAACATATGAGGCACACAATTTTGGATTTTCATTATCTGCAAGCAATAATCATGAAAATTACATGAAATAAAGGCTTGAAATATTTCCCTCTAATAAATCCATATAATGAGTTTAATTTTTAGAAAAAGCTACAAAAAAAGTGATATTTTAAACTTTTGAGCTGCACTCATACAGTCATATTCAGTAAAAATTAGAATATTATTAAAGAGTTAATTTTAGCAACTCATTTGATGAACTGAAATGATCTGTAGATTTATTACATAAAGACTGGTGTTTTCTGGCCTTTATTTCTGTAAGGTGATTTTGTGCTTACAGCTAATGAAAACAAGATTTAAGATCAGAAAATTACATCAGAGCAATCAGGGAGGAAAAATTTTAATACAGAAATGTGAAGTCAATGAATGTTGAAACTGCAGTTTATGAGATATAACTTTTTTTTTTTTTTCTTTTTTTTTTACATTTGACTCAAAATGCAGTTAAGTAAAATGTTTTTACAGATAGTCTTTTTTTTTCCCCTCTCCATTGTTGGCTGAAAAAACACGTTTTTGCTCTGCAACTTTCTGGGAAGGTGAATTAAGATCGATTTCTCTATGATTGGTTCCATTTCCTTGTTACTTCCCCAGCAGCCTTAGGAGCAACGGTATCACAGCTTCTCACCCACTTAAACTAATATCATCTTCCATTATGTACTACTCCGGCTTTACCTCATGTTAATGGCTCTGCGAGAGACCGAAGGAAATGTTCGCAGTTTTATGCATCCCACAAACCCGACTCATCTGTCTCTCCCCATGCGTGGACATACAGAAGCTTTCCTCAGTGACTTTAATGCAGACTGAAAGCCCAGAGGAAGTAGCTAATTCAGAAGCAACTAATGGTCTGTCAGCTGTTGCTTCTGTGTGCTAATGTAAGATCCTTTGTTGATTCCCAGTTTGATCTCAGTTTGAATTGAAATATGCTCCATTTGCTCAATTGTGACTGTGTTTGAACTGCAAGGCCTTTATACCAACAAAGCGCCTCGGATCAAACGTAGGTGCCTGCACCAGCAAGCCTTTCCTTTTCCTGCTGTGTTTGTGGGCTGAAATAATAAACTGTGCAGTGTCTTTTACCGTGCAGCTGTCTGCGCTGTGATGTGTCCCGCAGACCACACACAAAAGAATAGGAAGATCTAAAAGAAGCAGGTCTCTCCAGAAGAGCCTTTTGCGTTTTCAGCCAGTCGTAGTTCTGTTTAGGATTGGAAGAGCCCGGTTCTGAGCCACACCTCTGGGTAACAACATTATGTAGCAACATTATGAAGCTATCTGGAATGGATGGAAACCATTAGTGTCAGGCTTTAGGAGGAATTATACAGCAAAAACACAGACTCTTACAAAGTATTTTTGGTTTAGTTTCAAGGGCAAATATCTCGTTACACATGAAATAAGACAAAATGATCGTAAAAGTAACTTTTCAGCAAGATATCAGAGCTTGTTTTAAGAACTAATGCCAAAGGAGCATTAGTTCCTTAATTTTACCACACTTTTCAGTTTGTAAAGACTTAAAAGCCACGGATATCTCCTTCTGTTTCACAGTTATGTTGTATTTTGTGTTAGCATGAGATCAGATTTAAATACATGGAGGTTTGTTGGAAAAGATTTCCTTGACTGCTTGACTGAGATTCTGATGAAACCATGGCAGATAACTACTGGTTACCAGTCACTCCAATTTCCCATCATCCCTTTCCTTTTACGCCAAACGTCTTTGTTCTTCTTTCTCAGCATTTCAATGCAGAAAACAAGAGTTGATGTCTGAGTCTTTTCACCCTAAAAGTCTTTCCGGGGAGCTGAAGACTTCTCTGCGTGTTTCCCTCTTGTCTCCGTTTTCTATTCTGTGCTTGTGCTTTTCTGCAGCTGCATGTTGAAGAATCAGCATTCACAGAAAAAGCATTTAGCGTTCGTCCATTCAAAGCTTGTACCATAGGAGAGAGAAAACTGTAGGAAACTTTGGGAACAGGAAATGAACAATGTAAACCTTATAGAGACTTTCCCATGGCTCAAGTTTCAACTATCCAAATTTCAGAAAACAGACACTCCTTTATTCAGCTCTTGCAGTTTAGTATCTTGGATTTTTTTTGTTGTTGTTTTTTGCTAAAGCAGGAATTAAACACAATGGTGAAGTTGGGAAAAACCTTAGCAGGGAGGAGTTGGTGTGGAGAATCACTGATTTATCTAAGTACACTGAAATTTTGGAAAAGTTCAGTCTTCAAAAGGATTTAAAACCAAGGCTGGTGGATGCAATTTTACTCCTGAAGACCCAACTGAGACGTTAACTTTTACTAGAAGTGGGAATCAGTGGCGACTGGTGAAACAGATTCTTGGAAATAAAAGCTTGCCATCATTAACTTTATCACCATAGCAACGCAAAACTTTCCAGCAGTTTCTATGGCAGCGGCAAAATTCAGAGATCCCGAAATACATTAAATTCACTGATCCTGATTGGTCAAATGTTCTTGTTTTTCCCTAGCAACCACACACGATTGGTTATTTAGATTCTCTTTTGGGGCGAGAAACGTCAAGACTCTTGGATGGCTACTTTTTACTTTTACTTGAGTAAAAATATGTTGAAGTAGTGCTACCCTTACTCTGAGTTGGGTAGTAACTATTTACAATAACTTTTTTGAAAAAATTTACTTTTAGTATTATTTTTACGACATCATACTTTTTGCTTTACTTGAGTAATTTTATTATGAAGTATCGCTACTCTTATTTTCTGACGAGTTAAATTTCTGGATTCTCTACCCACTGTGAGTAACTTCACCGAATGAAAAACAAACATGTCTTAACCAAAACCCACCTGCAGTTTTTATAAGGTTTCGTACGTTTTTTATTGAAATACATGAAAAAGATTATTTTGCCTTATTTTATTTTTTGTTACTAATATGGATTTTTGTCATTTGTCTCCTTAATACACTAAAATTTCCACTTAACTTTATAATTAGTTATATTTTTAAATATTACTTTTTACCAAATACGTTTTTACTCCTTCTTGCGTATTTTCTTGGATGGCTACTTTTACTTTTACTTGAGTAAAAATATATTGAAAAAGTGCAACTCTTTTTGAGTGTCACTCTGGGTACTCTGCCCACCCCGGGCCCTGTTATAAAATAATCCGCCTCTGTTTCAGTGAACCACTGATATCCTCTTAGCATCCAGGCAGTGCATGGAGGCCCCCCTCTGAGTGGGCGGAGCTTCCTGCCTGGACTCTCTGACATGAGCTCGAGTCTCATTTTGACGTCAACTTTGTTTTGCATAACCACCACCGTTTGGCGGCTTTGATTGGACCGTTTACAGGATTTTAACTCAATATTTTTTTTTTTCTTAATCTGTGCAGACCACGCTTCTTCGTTGTTGTGCAGCTGGACGCCTCGTCACCGCCTTCCTGCTCCTCTTCCTCACCCGGGTCCATCCTTCAAGAAGGAGAACCGCCTGTCGCCGTTGAAACGTGGAGGGAAGGGCACGCGGAGGGACGCTCGCATCAGGGCGCGCGGCTCCATTGTTAATTTGGTGCCGGTTTGTGTCGACATTATTTGCTTCAGGGCTGGTTCTGATCCGGAGGAGCTGCTCTCATCTTCAAGTGGTGCTGAAGAACAACGTCGGCGGTCCAGAAGGTAACATTTTCTTTAGTAACGCTTTGTCGTTTTTCTGTTCAGGGGTGATTTAATTTAAGTCACGTCTCGGCACCTTGTCGTCTTTGTTTTCTCTGCTAAAAGAAAGTGCATATTTTGTTTTGGGGTTACGTTTGTTTGCGTTATTGGAGTAGCCGGCTTGTAGCCAGACGGCTCGGTTTCGGCTGGGCCGTGGTTGGAGTAGCTTTTCCTCCAGAAAAAGGACATGGGTGTCTGTCTCCGGCGGTGAAAGAGGCGCCTGGGGTTGCTTTGCGTTCAGTTTATTGACTAATCTCATGTGCTTCACCCTGCAGGCTCCCTTTGCGCATTATTGCTATTGTTCTGTCAAGGCTGGACCGTCCTCTTTTTTTTTTTCCTGCTAAACCAGGGAGGGGAGGTTTGGTGTTTTTGTTTCCAGAAACAAATGGTGTTATTAAAGCTCCACTTGAGACCCACTTTAAAAAAAAATCATAAACAATTGGCCTCCTGGGGCCACACTGAGGCCCCTTATGGGGTCCCATTAGTGCAGTAAGTGTCCCTCAACTACCTGCTTTTAAAAGAAATTTAATTTCCTTTGTAATTAGGGATTAAACGCCCTGTATTGAGTGTTTGTAAATCTTTTTGGGAAAAGTGTACCTTTTCTCATAACTCCCTGCTAAGATTAAATCAGTTTTTCATATTTGCATCCAGTGATCTCATTGTTGACTGTTCAGAGCAGAGTGAAATGGGCAGTCTATCAGGAGTACAAATCTCAGTGATGGAGAGATGCTGGTTTGGCTTGCAGCCTGCATTACATAATCGGAGTGTTGTGGACATGGCTGGGTGTGGTTGGCAGGGTTTAGATGTGACGAGCTGCACTTCTCCTCTGGCTTTAGACGGACGAGCGTTGGCGTGGGATGTCTTCTGTCTTCTTCTAAAACTTTACTCGCCTCCCCCAGGGTGTGAATTGCACCCTTTTTGTGGTTATTCTGAATGTTTGACCAGTTTCCAAAGATTCACTTCAGAAGCTTAATTTCAAATTAATTTATCCCCACCTTCCTAAAATAATGGCCCAAGTCTCTTTTTCTTTTTTGTCAAAACCGGT